GATGAGAACAGCTGGAGCCTGGATATCATACACTGAAATGTTTATTTCGATGCTATTGATAAAATGGGAAATCAGCTCCAGTCAGAGCCAGCCACTGATAAGGGAGCTGAGATGAGAGTGACTGATTGAGGCATGCAGCAAAGAGTTAAACCAGAACACAGCACCCTTTGAACTCCACTCCATATGGCTACTCCCACCACAGCAGATGGTGGAGCTATTTGTTTTCTGTTTCCTCTTGATGTACTGTTTTCTGTCTTCTGATAAGAATCACTGTGGCTAAACAGCAAAACTGACAGCTGCCCATTGCTGCTGTCCTTTCCTCACAGCTTGCTAGCTTCAAGCTCAAGAACACTGCTGAAGGAGATTGCTCATATGCTGCAGGCTTCCCAGTTGCTGTTTTCCTGCTTCCCACTCCTCCTCAGAGCAGAGCTTTGCCTGGCTCAATAATCTCACTGCTGGGGAACAAGAGCAGGAGTCTCCAGAGGAGCCAAGGGCTTGCTTACAGGCCACAAACACTGGATAAAAAGAAATTGTTGGTGTGCAACATCTCCTTACAACACCCAGTCAGAAGTCCCAAATCATGGTATATTTTATCTTAGGTGTCTTCATAAAAACGACATCAAAATCCCCACAAAATGCCTAAGTTAAGCCAGTTCAATTTTAGAACTTCAGACAAAGTTATGGCTTTCCAAGTAATTTAGTTCCAGCCCAACTGTGTGCCCCAGGAAAAGGCTTTGTACAATTCCAGTCTGTGCCTGACTCCTCCTTAAAGATGAGGTTCATATTTTATTCAGGTCTTTCTCAGTCACTTCCTTCTCCACCTCAGAAATGACATTTTGGCTGCCAAATATCCCAGGAACATGGCAGTGAGCAAGAGCTGTGATAATTCCCAAACTGTACCCAGATAATGGATACAGACATATTTCATGCAGATCACAGAACAGCAAAGTCTTCACTACATTTTCCCTATAATTTATTGTATAAAACAGAGATGAGCCTAGCAAGTGCAGCAAAGCCCCACAATCATTTATATAAGATAATGACAACAACGTGCATCCATTTACAATTTAAAAAGACATTTCTGGGGATTATTTCAGCCACTGTTGAATGAAGTCATTAGCTTTCATTTCTTGGTACAGCCGACTGAAAAATGACCCAAGTGCCAACATCAAACTGAAACAAGAATTATGTACTGCTAAATTATAAAACAATATCCTTAATATAGAAAAATCAATTCTGTAGGCAAGGTGGAAATTTGTGGAAATGCCTATTTGGCAAGAAATAAGTATTATTCATTCTTTTTGATATTTCCCAGGAGAGTTTAAACTTCTATATTTATTTGAGTTTGTGTAATCCAGCCTCCAGACAAGTGACCACTGCAGCAGTGGCTACACACAGGTTGATGGTACTGGCTCAGCTGTGTCTTTTCTCCCTAAAAGTAATACTGAGGTAACTTCTAGGATTCACCCCACAAATCCCAGGATCCTGGGCTGATGCTCACTCAAGCTCTTCAAAAGTGAATTTTACACAGCATCAGTGGGAGATTTTCTGTCCTTGGCTGCTTTTAGAGTTACAGCAGTTTCAATGTGAAATGCAGCCTTTCAAAGAGGCATTTCCCCAGCTGTAACCTGAACTCCAAGCTGCTCATTGTCCCAGCACCAGGCTCCTCAAGGATGATTCACATGTGCTGTAACAACATAAAAACTTCTGCTATCAGTCTGAGTCTAAAGCATTCACAAATATATTTGCAGATTAGGTTTGCTGGAACCATTTCCAGCACTGAGGAAGATGTGTAGTTGGAAATTCCAGTGTTGTCTTACAGTTGTTTTCTCTTCTTTTAGACCTTACTTAACCACTTCAAGGACCCAGGTGCCTTATTTGGTGGCTGTGCTTGGACAACTCTTACAACTTCCACTGCCATCTGCTATCATGTGCTGTTTATCATGTGTGAATTCTTTATATTTCAAATGGATTTGGCTTAGTCCCTGAGTTGATCACCAGACTTGTGCTACATCTGAACAGCAAATTCCTTTTTCTCAGCACTGACATTTCACCTAAGGAAGAATGAGCAATGTGGAGCATTTGTAGGACCTCAGCGAGTTCTGCATGCTGATGGACACTAAACACTGCAGAACATTCTGCTGCTGTTTGGGCTGAATCCTCTCTTTCTGTATTACACCAATATGGGCCATAAGCATAATCCCATTTTTGAGTCTTTGTTAACATCTGCACTCCCCACAATGTGCTGTGGCTTGTCCAGACTGGCCAGGCAGGCACACACTTCTTCAAGCACACAAACCTGACACCCTGCTTTGGTTCTCTCTCTATTTGCCACATCAGATGTGAAGCATGAATGGTCCAGCAAGGACAGGGGATGCTCATGCAGCTGGATGCAGAGGCATCTGCAATTCTGCAGGGGCACAAGGTTTGCTGAGGGATCAGTCATTGCCAGAATTACTCCAGGTACTTATTCTGTGCTATGCACACTGTCACAGGGAGGTTGTGTTTCCCTGGCAACTATCAAACACATTGCTAATGTCCCTGGAGGATTTCTAGTCAATAATGATTTCAGCCCTTTCAAGCTCATATTTTAAACTAACTTTTTGGTTAGCTTAAGCCTACCTCCAGTTTGTGTATTTAATTTATTATTGTCAGCTGGCTGAACATTTTTGGGAAGCAAAGTTTTTAACCTTAGTTCTCTGTAGAAATTCAGAGCACCACCTCTGAATAAATCAGAGATTTCGGTGAGAAATAAAAACAGGCAAGAGACTTCTCCATCTTTCACAGAAATCTAGAACCAGACTGAATTAAGGTGAATACTGAGATCAGATGACAAACACCAACTCCCATTTATGTGCTTTTTTCCTCAGGTAACTCCTACATGGAGAACAGAACAGCAAATCCAATTTAATTGCAGAGATAAGGACAGTCATTGAAAACACAAAAGTAAGATGATAAAAAGCAGCTGTAAACTGAGCTGGCCCCAAGATGATTTTGTTTTGGTTCTGGGGTTTTGTTGTTTTTTTGTTGGTGGTTATTTTTATCTTGCTTTTCTTATCACTCTGTCCACAAAAAATGTGTGTGACTAGTACAATCTGCCTTGTGGTTCTTAAAATGAAAGATTCATAAAAGTGCACATATAATTAATCAATATTAAGAAATATTGGGGGGACATACTAAATTTGGAACCATATGATCCCCTTCAAGGGACTTTCTTTAATAAGAGGAATTTATGGTATCTAAAACCACTAGAAGGCAGCCCAGTTATTTTCTTCGGAGCTGGTATTTTTCCTCACAACTAAAGCTTTGCTGTAGAAGAACCTCAGCCAGAAAATAGTTTATGGGAAAAGGAAGTCAATTGGTTTTGTAAGCTATAAAGGTCAAAATACTTCTGTGAAATATTCCCTTTGGAAAGCTTGGAAGCAACCTTTTCCTCCAGAAGTTTATGACAGCTGGCAAAGCAGGAAGACATATGCTTTTTTGTATTGCCTAAATAAAAGTGACTGATCTGACTTATTAACACTGATTCTCTCAAGATGCAAAATAGAGTTTCCAGCCATTTTATGCTGTTCTTAATATTCATTAGCAATATCTGCTTTTAGATGAGCAATATTTATCCTAAACATCTGTTTGCAGGATCAGTTAGAGGATTTACAAGACACACTTCCAAATTTATTAGCTTTCATGGAAAGTATTTTTCAGTCTATTGAAAATGATTAACTGAAGCTTTCAAGGCTACAGAAATAAAAACAAGCACTAAGGTCTGATAAAAGTCATGCTTGTAATTATCTGATTCATAAAACAGAGAAGTTCAGCTTCTTCTATTTTGAAAAAGCTTTTCAGATTTTTCTTTTCCATACACTTTTAAAACCAAGGAAGAGACTATTCTATAGTCTGAAAATAGAAGAGTACATTCATTGTAGTAGATAAAAGAATAATAATAAAATAAAAAAAAACAAACACCTCTAAGTAAATGACACAGACATAAAAACAAGAGCCTAGTAGAAATTCTTACTAAAACCCCATATACCTTCCAGAATAGGCAAGACCCCACAATTCCTCATGCAAAACCAGACTGAGAGAGTGGGACTTGCTCAGCCTGGAGAAGAGAATGTCCAGGGAAACCTTGGAGACTCTTCCAGTGCCTTGAGGGGCTTCCTACACAGGCACAGTGCCAGGGCAAGGGGCAACCCCTTCAAACTGAAAAGGGCAGGTTTGTATCAGAGATTAGAAGGAAATTCACTCTCAGGACAGTGAGGCTCTGGCACAGATTGCCCAGAGAAATTAGGGGTGCCCCTGGATCTCTGGAAGTGTCCAAGGCCAGCCTGGGTCAGTGGAAGGTGTCCCTGCCACAGCAGGGGAGTGGAACAAGATCAGCTCTAGCATCCATTCCAACCTAAACCATCCTGTGATTTTATGATAAAAGGAACAAATGAGAAAAAAATCAACAATTAACTGGGAATCTTTTAAAAATGGGTCTATTAAATCCCACTCAGACTGTCTATAAAATAATCTAGAATCTCCAGATTTTTCCACTAACCCTCCTTGTTCTGGACAGCAGCTGAAGAGCAGCACAATTCCAGCACCAGCAGTGAAGCTGGTTTGGGGTAAATTCTCACTCATGGACATGAGAACAGCCAAGCATGGTGGGCATGCTGGTGACACTGAACAGTGTCCCAGAGAGAGGCACACGTGCAAGGGGGCTGCCATGGAGGGTGGAAAGGTGCTCGGGAACTCATGGAGGATGGAAAGGTGCTCAGGAACTCATGGAGGGTGGAAAGGTGCTCAGGAACTCATGGAGGGTGGGAAGGTGCTCAGGAACTTATGGAGGGTGGGAAGGTGCTCAGGAACTCATGGAGGGTGGGAAGGTGCTCGGGAACTCATGGAGGGTGGGAAGGTGCTCAGGAACTCATGGAGGGTGGAAAGGTGCTCAGGAACTCATGGAGGGGAGGAAGGTGCTCAGGAACTCATGGAGGGTGGGAAGGTGCTCAGGAACTCACCCCATCACACACTCCTTTCTGCAGTCACCCTCACTCCCTGCTGAGCACAGGCCAGACCTGCAGAGTGCCAAAAAAAAGGCATTTCTTGGGCAGACATGTTTTAACCAATACTCCCTGTCAACATTCACAGAAAGCACTAACATTTTGTGCACATGAAGGCTGCTTGGCTTAAAATATACAGTAAATAGGAACTGGAATGTTATTAATGCCTTCAAAAATAGAAGCTGTTAGACAGCCATGCTATTCATGTTCCTCATACAGACTGCCCCACTTTCTCCCTGTTCTGTATCATCACTAATACTGCATTCTCACTTACATGGTTAAGTACACAACTTTTTTTTCCCTCCCAGGGAGTTTTTTCTATCTCTTTAATACAATCCAGCTGTCTAACACTGGGACACTCTCCTTATAATGAAGCAGCAAAACGAATATTTTCAAACTCACACAGTAAACAAACACTGCCATGCAACACAGGTTTTGTCCAGCTCATCTTAACCAAAGGGCATCTCCCTTTCCTTGTCAGCAGGCTCAGTCCTGAGCACACACACACTGCAATGTAAATGAGAAAATTTCAGTTTTGCTACACTCCAAAAATCCTCAGAAATATCACCGGTAACCACGAGCAGGTCCAGCAGGATTACCACTGAAGTTCCACAACAGAAAATAAAATTAAAGCTCCCCCCCACAATGGAATTGCTGCTTCACCACCAGCCACTGACTGCCCTTCCACTTCAGTGGAACAAAACAAATTTTTCTCTTCTCTTTCTTAAAACAGGTTTTCATCAGTATTACAGTGTTCCTAGATGAAGTCAAATTACAGGAGTTTGTTTGGTTTTACTTTACCTAATACATCTAAACAATGAACTGATCAATAGATCATGCTGTGGTTTTCTTCTAAATGCAAAATATTGCAGCCCATTGTTCTCCCGTCAGATATCTCATCCTTCTTTGCTGAAGCCTCCCTGAGAGCCACCACGACTTGCAGGTGCTGTACAATTAGCTCAGAGACTTTCAGGGCAGTGCTGGTCAGCCCAGCCTCAGGTACCCCCAACCCCAGGGACTTCCTCCGAGTTTTGGAATCTCCTGCTGTGCTTTCTATTCAGTACAGATCCCCCCGCCAACCAGTTCTGGGCTTTGCTTCTCAAATTACTCCAATAATCACATATGGGAGAATTAAGAGCCAAGCCAAGAGATAGAAAAGGGATAATGATAGAACAAAAGGATAAAAGGAAAGTATTGAGGAAAATCAAGACAAAATACAGTGATTTAACCCACATTATAATGTGATATCTGAAGAATAAAATTCTTAAGAAAAATTCCTGAGGACAGGAAGGCAGTTGAGGCTGCTGGTCTTTGAATTCTAATGTGCCAAGACAGCTCTTTAATCTCTCAGCCTATCTATAGTAACATTCTGCAGTTCTACAGAGCTAAGCTATTTTTTCCTTTCCTCTCACTGTTCTTCCCATGCTATCTAATGCTAATGTGCAAAGCAAGTAATTGACTTGCAGCAAAACTCCAGTTTTTCTGTTATTCTGTTTCCCTGCCTGCCCTTTCCAGGGATCTCAGTGAGGTTTGCCAGTGCGGGGTCAAACACTCTGCACCATCCTGCCCCCTGTCCCTGGAGGTCTCCAAAAGCAGAGGAAAGCACAAGAATGATTTCAGCTGGATGTTCACACAGGCCAGCTGCAGCCAGTGTTTTGTGTCTGAACAGATGCTGCCCCAGCCTCAACAAAGCTGTGTCATAAAATGCAGCGTGTTGTGGGAATGGATGCATTCACTGATTAACCAGATTCTGCATGAAGTGCTATTTAGTGCAGGTAACCAGGCAGGAGTTACAGGAAACTGGAACAACCTCTCTGTATTCACAGTGAAAGGAAAAAAAAAAAAAAAAAGAGTCTTGAAATTACCTGATTCTACTAAGATCATACAGCAACTCATTCACTTACCAGAACTGATCTGGCCAGTATAATTCCTATTTTCTGGCCCTTCCCTGTGAACAGAATGTGAACACAATTCTAGCTCAAGTCCCCATGGTCTTTAGCTCTTTTATAGTGTTTCAGTGTTCTTTGGTATTAAATTCTGAACATTTCTGTGAAAACCCAGGAGATCCCCAATCCTGCAGAATTTCAGCAGACTGCATTTATTCTGGAGATGTGCTTGTTGGTCCCAAACAGAGGAGTTACAGTCCCTAAAGCTGTACAGTTGGCATCTTCCTTACAGGCACATCTCATGCTTATTTGGAGCTACAAAGTCTTGCTCCAAACCATGCAATTATAAGTAAACAAATAGCCACAAATTTATTTTGTCCCATTATGTCTTCCCTCTCCTCTGAAGGCCTTTATTAAAAGGAAAGCAAAGCCAGGTCTCAATATTTAGTACTGAGTGCTCTTTGAGAAACTTTAGTAACCAAATCTGTCAGAGAGAAGATGGATCATTGTATACAAAATTACACAGCTCATCACTCATCTGTAGCCTCAAAATGGAAGGGAGGGGCAGGAATTTCCATCACCTAAGTCACTTCAAAGCAGTCCCCAGCATCATTTTCAAACTCAGACTATGCCATACCTCCAAGAATGTTATAATATGACTTATTCTGTGCCTCAGCAGCGACACAAACATCAGTTAAAGTACATTCCCAGCAGCCAGTGTTTTTTTTCAGGTTGGAAGGCATTTAGAATTCACATGCCTACATTACCCTTTCCTTCTATTCATTATTGTCCTATTTCCAAGATCTTATTTCCACAAATATCTTCATGCACCTTGCTGACTTTCCCTCATTTCCATCTTCCTTCCTGATGGCACATCTAGGAATTCATGCATAGAGCTGGTCGTCCAGATGATGACAGAATCATTTCTTCAAAAATAAACATAAGAACTCTGCCTTCTAAGGTTATTACTTTTATTGGTTCTTATTTGAAAGAAAACAGGGAGAAAAGGGGAATGCAAAAAAAAATTCACTATTGTGCTGGTGAGAACTGTGGCAGTAAAATGTGCTGAGTAAAAAGCAAATGGAGACAGGAGGCTATTTAAAAAGAGGTACCTGTACAGCAAGTATTTATTAAAACATTAACCTTTTCTGAGAGGGTCATTAGGGGAAGGGAGTATGTTTCCTATATACAGCCCTGAAGATCAAGCTTAGGAAAAAGAATCTTTATCGTGAAAAACTGCAGGGAGTTTAAAATATATCCGCATAAAAGAATTTATAATCAGGTAATTCCTCCGTATAAGCAGTTCTGATAAAGCAACTTATCTTTACTTCATCAGCTGATAATCCTTGTGTCTCAAGGGCTAGCTTTCTTAAAATGAAAATTGGGTAGAATTCCCTGTTGAGAAATGAATCCATATCCAATGAGCACCATCCTTTTGTATGAATTTAAATCATCAAGCATACAAATTCTTGAATTTCATGTCCTAACAACAAAAATTGTTTCCTTGGAGAGCACACTTCTACACTTCTATGTATTCAGTGTGATGCATTTAGTGTTTCTCACATCATGCTTATTTACACCCCAGAAACTGTTTAAATGATTATGCTTTTCCTTCTTTTCCATCTCTGCATCAGCCATGAATACTGAACTGTAAAATCACCTTTTGGGACCTTAATCTGTTGCCAAGGATACTGGGGATATAATTATGATTTTATTGTAGACTTACTGAAAGACTTCTCTTTGTTGCAAGTGCAATTCAGCCTCATCCAGTGTTAATTGCAGCTCCACACCCCCTTTCATCCTGCTATTGTGGAGTGCTAGGAAAATTATACACCAACACTCCTGAGACTCTGATTCTGGGTCTGCTCCATGGACTGGGAACCTGCAGCACAAAGGAACGACTTCCTGAAGGTGAAAACTTCTGCTGGAAATCAAACCAAGTGCCACCCTAATGGGGGCTGATAAAGTCCACACACCTGGCCAAAGGCTGCTGCCACTGCCAGTTCTGGCTCTGGGTGTGCCCAGGAATGCAACTGAGCAAAATCTCCCTGCATTCCCCAGTGCTAGCCATGGTTTTATCAAATTCCACTCCAACACAGGTGTTATCGCTGCTCACGTGCAGCTGGGACCTCCCTGGCCAAAGCTGCCAGCTCCCAGGAGGAAATATCAATTCATTTCCTAAGGTTACCCTTCAAAGAGCACAGAACTTGAAGGAAAACTCAGCCAATTAATTGTTGCAATTGTAATGATAAAAAGCAATGGTATGGAGACTCAATAATGGAGGGAGGGCTGGTGTGGGGTGTTCCCCCTTGTTTATTGGGGGTTTGTCTATTTTTTTATTAATTTTCCAATATTTTCATGGAGCAATAGACTATTCCACTTCTTAGAGCTCTGAAGCTTGGTACAAGTTCTGTGGACTCATTCTTACCCCCACTCTTATCTTTAAAACAAAAGAACTCAAATGAGAATGGGGAGACAACAAAAAAGGAAAAAAACCCGCATATCCACTAAAGGTGCAATTCAACCCAAGCACATCCATCAAAAAGATGAAAAACATCACACACAGGGAAGAAAAAAGCACTAAAGGGCTCAAACATCTTGGAGAATTTCAAATTTCAGACCCTAAATTTACTGCTTCAGGGATTTCCCATCACTGTTGAGGAGCACACCTTCTGCAGCTGGCCTACAGGCAGGTCCAGCTCACAGGTGGAGGCAGCTCAGGGGCACCAGGACATTTTTGTGCCACATTTCAACCCATGTCCATCCTGCTTTCTGCAGCTCCAGCAGCTCAGGGGCACCAGAACATTTCTGTGCCACGTTTCAATCTGTGTCCTCCTGCTCCCTGCAGTTCCACCCTCCTGGTGGCCCTGACTGATGTGCATCCAGCAGGGCTGTAAGGTGGATTATGGAACAGCTCTAAGCTCTCATGAACTGCCTCCAAAAATGCTCCTCAGTCAACTCAGCCATGTTTTCCATGTGAACCTCAAAAAAATTAGTACTTTCAGATAACACCCACACGTAACACCAACCAAGCCTTCACAAACATTTATTTTTTTAAGCATTTAATTGCTGAAACTGAGCCTCTTTCATGCTGTGAAAAGTTTGAGGTGTCATCAATGCAGCGCCCTT